GTCATGACTTTTCCAATGACCCAATAATATAATCTATAAGTAGGAAAATCATAAAGAAAAGATTGGCAAAACCAGCAGATGGTGTAATGGTTACATCACTGGATTCCCATGTGGTTGACCACAGTTTGAGTCCTGGACCCAGTTAAAACTCACACCAGATGCATGTGTGTGGGTGCCCAAAATCCTAGGAGGAGAAGGGATTGCAGCATGGCCTTGCCCATGAGGGGGTGACTTCTCACTGTCTATCTCTACAGACAGCACACACACCCTATAGCAAAAAATACTTCTAACAAAAAGAAAAAATTGGCTAAAAAGGAAAGATAACACTTCATAAGAAATTAAAACTACAGGGGCCAGCAGGTAGTGTGTTGGTTAAGGCACTACTCCTCTACGGCTGACTGTGGTTCAAGTCCCGGACCTGGCAGCTTGAAAATCATGTTGGGCACATGTGTGTGTGCACCAAAAATCCCAGGAGGAAGGAAAGGGGATTGAGGTGTGCCATCGCCACCCACCCCCCGCCCCCGGGGAGGATGATTTCTCACTTTCCCTCTCTCTGGTGAATACATGTCACTATGAAAAAAATAAGAATAAAGAAAATAAATTAAAAACCATAAGTGACCAATCTGGTGAAGTGACAGGCACCTGTAATCTCAGAGACTCCAAAAGATGAGGCAGGGGAATCATGAGCTTGAGGTTATCTAGGCAACGCGGGAAGATCCTGTCTCAGAGCGCCAGGTATGGTGGCACATGCCTGCGACCCTGGCTCCTTAAGAGGCTAAGGCGGGAGAATTGTGATATAAGCAAGGACCTGTCTTAAAAAAAAAAAAAAAAGAAAGAAAAGCAATGAAGTACTGATACACGCTGTAGCACAGATCAGCCGTGAAAATATTCATGCTAAGAAACAGAGGACAGCCACATGACTACATATGATTCCATATTTATGAAATGTCTAGAATATGCAATTGTATAGAAACGGCAAGTAGCATACTGGCTGCCTAAGGTTTAGAAGGTTAAGGGAAAATGGGGAGTGATTACTAACGGGTACTGGGTTTCTTTTCTGGGGCAAGGAAAATGTTTAAAATTGACTGCAGTGATTACACAACTCTGAATAAACTAAAAACCACTGAACTCTATCCTTTAAATAGGTGAATTGTATGATACGTGGATTGTATGTTTTTAAAGAATTATTTGATCTATTTATCTTTGTTAATGAATTATTTATTTAATTTTATTGTTATTTGTTTTTTAATTTGACCAGAGAGAGAAAGAGGGAAAGTGAGAAAGTAAGTCACCAGGTCCAGACTCAAATCACAGTTGGCTAGGTGAGAGTCCAGTGCCTTAACCACCACACCACCTGCTCGCCCCAATTTTATTATTATTTTTATTTTTATTTTGCTATAGGGCATGTGTGTTCACCAAAGAGAGAAATAAGAAAGCGAACCATCAGGTCCAAGACTCGAACCACGGCCAGCCATGTGGGAAACCAGCACCTTAACCACCATGCAACCTGCTGGCCCCTGTGAATTATATCTTAACAAAGCTGTTATAGGAAAAAAAAATACAAACAGCTACATGCATATAGTATATGCCCATTTCATTAAAAAAAAAAAAAAAAGACTAAACTCACATATACTTACTAAAAAAATCTAGGTAAAGAAAGAGTTAAGTCTTACTTCTAGGTTAATAAATTATAGGTATTTTTTCTTTTTACCTCCCTATCTTTTTTGTAATAAATATGCAATACTTTTATAAAGTTGCAGGTTACAGTAAGGGCTTCTCTTAGAAATTTTGCACTAAACTTTAATGCAAGGCTACTAGGAAACCTGTTTACTGGCTTCTCAGATCTTGGCTGAATTCCCACTAGGAGATCCTGACAGATGGTGGTATTGCAGACAGACCTCATAGAGACGAGATGGAATGTCAGCAGGTGGTTACCAACCATGACCAAATAAGTAAGTTCCAAGTACATAAAGCAGATGCAAATGGCAAAATCTCCGTCATTTAACAATGCTGTAACAATCACATAATAAACAAACCAAAACAAATGCCTAATCTCTTTTAAGCATTGAAAAACCAATGGACATTAAGAGTAACTGGAATTTTATAGTTATAAAGGATTACACTTACCTCTCTGTAGAACAAATCTGAATTATTGTAGACATCGTAAGCCAAAAGATTAGTCTGTGTGCCCACTAACAGAGCATCATAGCCAAGCTCAGGGTTCAGTACTCCTGCAGTCAGGCAGCTGACCGCCTGGTTAATGTTGAGAAGAGAAACGTCAGACTCCAGGGGGCTCTGGGAGACCCTGGATGCACTGAAATGCTGGCTCCGTGTATGAGGATTGTGAATAAACACCTAAAGCAAAAACAGTTAATTACATTCCCTTAAAATATCAAAAATGGGGACCAGACCTTAGCGTAATGGCTATGTCGCTTAACTCCCATGTAGTCTATCACGGTTCAAGTCCTGGACCCGGTTGGCTTAAACTCACACCAGGCGCATGGGCATGTGTGCCCAAGATCCCGAGAGGAGAACTGATGAGAAGAGACTGCAGCGTGGTCATCCCCCCTGGGGGGTGATTTCTCACTTTCTATCTCTCTGTCTCTCTCTCTCTGTCTTTCTGGTGAGCGCACGCGCCCTACAGCAAAAACCTCTCCAAAAAAAAATATCAAAATTGTAAAACTGACTTTTTTTTTTTAAAAAGTACCATGTTAGTAATGGTTATCAATGTTAATAAGTCATTTTAATCTCCCACAAAACACTCATACACAATTCTGTGTATAACCGACTCTCCATTCTTACGAATCTCAGAACACCAGAGGTTCTTAGCCTTCTAAAAAACAAGGGAATGAACAAGACCTAGTAATAGCTGTTGCTTACCAGAGCAGCTTAAATGCTACCCACCAGAAGGATGTCGAAGCAGTCCTAAAAACAAGTCTTTTCCTGATCCACCTATGGAAAGCTTCTACCAGCTTTGATGCGATTGCTCCGTACCCAGAAGATCACAGAAAACTTAATATGCGCTTCCTTTCATATCTTTCATTCATATACCTAATACATTTCACTTCCTAACCCTTGAAACAGTTAGCAAATAAATAATACCCAATTTGTTATACAAACTTTCACAATCATATAAATTAAGTGTCTTGAAGGTTTTCATAGTTTATGCAAGTAAAAGAGAGAAGTAATTAGCTCCAAGATGATAAACTCTGCAGTTTTAACTGCTGGATCTAAATAAATATAAATAAATTATAAAAATATCATGAGACCAGCAGATGGTGTAATGGTTACATCACTGGATTCCCATGTAGTTGACCACGGTTCAAGTCCCTAACTGGGTGGCTTAAAACTCACGTGTGCATGTGTGCCCCAAATCCTGAGAATGAAGGAGAAGTGACTGCAGCATGCATAGCCACCCCCCTGGGGGGTGATTTCTCCCTTTCTGTCTATCTAGAGAGCACTCACACCCTATAGCAAAAATCTCTTTTAAAAATAAAATCATTGTTAAATATAATCATCTGAGTATCTGCAAACATCATTCAATTTCCTTGGGCTTCATCTATAAAAAGGAAGGTTATACTAGAAAACACATTCTCAGGAGTGGGAGTATACTCCTAAGATGGATAACTGGGTTTGGAGTAGGGGAATCTTAAATAGTAAAGTGGTTTGTGGCCCTCCCAGGGCCATACTACAAAAAGAGATAGATAGTATGTCTATGGCATGAAAATTTCACTGGGGAAATCCTCACTGTCTAAAAAACAAAAGCTCCATAGAGGTGCAATATGGAAATTTTAAAAAGATGGTAAATACTGGACTAGAAATCCTTTATACCCCTTCTAGTTCTACAGTTTGCTGATTTGAAATGAGTACTTTGGCCCAGCCTGGTGGTGTAGTCAGTAGCTGACTGAACTGCAGTACACCGCCACTGCATCTCAGGGCTAGCTGGCCCCTGTGATTTTTTTTTTTTCCATCTTTGGAAAAAGCCCCAAAACCAAATGTTTCTGCCTACATTAAGTCACACTGTAATGGAAAGGCTTCCAAAGTCACAGTGTAAAGTAAAGGCTTCCGTTGAAACCTCTGCCTAACCTCCCTGACTCCATTCCTAGCACACCTCCCTGCATCCTTTGGCAGAACGTCCTTTCATAACAGCCAGGGTTACCTTTTATCTAAAACCTAAAGAAGGGCCAGATGGCAGCCCAGGAGTAATGCAACTGGACCACATGGAAAGGTTCTGAGTTCACATCCCGGGACTACCCTTTATATACCTGGTATGTCGTACATGCATGCCCATGATCTGGGCTGTCTGAGGCTGGGAGCGGATAGTGGCGGCAAGAACCTGTTGGGAGTGTTTGTCTCCCTCTGAGAAATAAACAAACTTTAAAAAATAAGTAGAGCAAATCCTATCGCCACTTTATCAAAACCCTCAGTGGCTTCCCAACATGTTCAGTATAAAAACCAAGGTCTTTCCCACAGCCTACAGAGCTCCATATGATTTAGCCCGTGCAACCTCCTGGCCTCCCTGATTCCTTTCCAGCCCCACAGCCTCCTTTTGTTCTTGAAAGACATCAAACACCTCTCCCCTCTGGACCTTTGCACTTGCTGATCCTTCTGCCTGCAAGGCACTTGCTCCACAGGTCTGCAGAGTTTGTTTCCTCGTTTCCTTCAAAGCTCTAATCAAATGTTACCAGGGGCATGCTTGACAACCCTACCTATAAAAGAATAGCAAACTCCCATCATACCCTCTCCTTACTCTTTTTTCTTCTCCCTATGGAAACATTTATACAAATTCTGTTAACTGCCTGGCTCCCCCTCTCCAGTGTCCAAAGGGGCCAAATTTGTCACATTCACCATTGTACCTGCACAGCTAAGAACACTACCCAGCATAGAGTAAACTCTCCAATGGGGGCTGAGTCATTATCAATGGGTTATTTTTCAACCATTTACATAGCTATTGTGTGCTTCCAGCAGAACCAATATGAATTTCTTTTGGGCATTTGTCAGCACCTTAACAATAACAAAAATGAATCATTACTTTATATTTCGGTACTACAAGGCATATCATATAACATGCATTTATAAGGTGGAGGTGTGTTGAAAACTACAAATCATTACAAATCCAAGTTTACTAAATCCACACTGGGTCAGAGAACATGCCCTGGAATTTCATCTCCGCTATTTGCTAGCTGAGTGGCCTCAAGATCTGCTTTGAACCTCTCTGAATAGTTCTTTCTAATCAGTAAAGTGGGTATCAGAAAAACAAAACAAAAACTGCTAATGAATAGTGACCACTTCCATATGCCAAGCACTTCATGTATATTAAGTTACTTAATCCTCAGGGTCATGAGGATTAAATGATTTAATATGCAGAACACTATTAAGTATCTTGCCCAAGGTCATATCATTAACAGGGTGCATCCACCAACCAGAGCTAGACTGCTGTTGGCCTTTGGCCTTGTAGGAAGGATGCAGAAATGCTGAGGGCAGAAGGGCTTTGTACCTGTTAGAAGGTATAACCTTCTAACTTGTGTCGCTGTCTTCCACATATTTGGGACATAACTCCATCAATACACGGAGCCATGATTTGACTTATCCAATGTCCTTCTGGACTATAAGCTTCAGAAAGTTATAAGCTTTCTGAAAATAGGGACTCCACCTGTACCTCAGATCCACCGAGCATAAGGGAGGTGTTCAGTGGCAGTCTGGTGAATGTTGATCGACCCTATCTTTCTCACTGTGATTCTCACACCTTGTACAATACCTGGCACTCTGTAAACACCTAATGAACACTTAGCAGAGACACTTATGGAGGCCTGAAAGCACATGAACAAATACTGAAAGAGCAATCTGAGTCATTTAATCTGAGTCTTTTTCTTTCTTTCCTTTCTTCCCCCGCTGTAAACAGGCATGAGTGGAAAGAGTTCCAAGCGACTGGCAGAAGCCCTGGCCTCGAACCTGGGAGTCTTTATTGCAGCGACCACTAACGAAGCCCCATCCCCTCCTCCCTAAGCTCCCTATCCTTCCAGGGACTTCGCCACTGTCCAGGTCTAAGCGCCTGACAATAAGATGCCATCAACTGTTCAGAAAAGTCACTATGAAAGACCCCATTATTCTTAGCAGGATGGAGAGAGACCCGGGACCGCAAACGGTTGCCGGGCAACGTGGTTAGGGGCGGGGTCGCAGAGCGAGCTGCGCAGGCAGGCACGGACCGCGGAGGGCGCAGGGAACCAGAGGCCGCGCTCCGTGAGAGTAGGAGCGGTTACCTTGCCCGCTTGGGTGGCGGCCGCCAGGCACGGGTGAGTCCCGTCGTAGCGCCCTATAGCCACCATGCGGGGGCTGATTTTGTGGCGCAGTTTCAGGGTGAACACGGGCAGCAGCATGATGGCGGCGCCTCAAGGGTGGAGGGCTACGGCCCGAGACCGACTCAGAGAGGCAGGCCCCACCGACTCCGCTGAGGAGCGCGGGTACCAAATTCGTGTGGCCTTGGCGGCCACAGGCCGGCGCAAAACAGCACCGAACCTAGCTAGCCCCCGGTGGCCGGCTCTTTCTGCGGCTGCGCGGGCCCGCCCTTTTCTTCTGCGGCTGCGCAGACCCGCCCGGCTCCTGCGGCTCCAAGGGTACTCTCTCTTGGTGGTGGAAGCTCGGCCTTTGCAACTGTGACTTAACCCCGCATTTCGTTCAGTTCTGCTAACATGTCCTTAGTGGCTTTGGCTGAGCCAGTGCAACCCTGGAGCTTCTCCTAGCCGTGCAACTCAGCTGCATCACTGCAGACCACACACAGCCACCCGACTCCAAAGTGTCATTAATTCAAGAACTATTTCTTGAGTGCCTGCTCTGTCCTGTAGCTGTCATGTTGAGACAAGCTACAACAGTTACCTGCATTTAGTTTACCAAACAAAAGACATGGTTTAAACTATCATGTTTAATCTGTGGCGCCTGGTAAGACTCTCTGTGCTGGGGACCAGCAGTTGACGTAATGGCTATGTCGCTGGACTCCCATGTAGTCGACCGCAGTTTGAGTCTTGGACCCGGTGGCTTAAACTCACGCGTGTGCATGCGTGCCCAAGAGAATGGAGGAGAAGGGATTGCGGCGTGGCCATCTTCGCTCGGGGGTGATTTCTCACTTTCTGTCTCTCTTGTTTCTCCCTTTCTGGTGAGCGCATGGCCTATTGCAGAAAAAAAGCAAAACTTATCCAAAAAAAAAAAAGACTCCCTGTGCATGTTTAAACACAACATGCAAAATTGAATTTATTCAGTAAATCTTTCATGAGGCCTACAGCGTCTCAGGCCCTGTTGTAACAATAGAGATAAATCGTAAACAGAAGACAAACCTCTTCTGCATGTGACATGCTAGTCAGGGGACACAAGCACTAAACAAGGTATCCATCCATGTGATAGATGGTCATAGGGAAAATTATGGAAAGGAAGAAAGGATAGAGGGTTGAAGGGAATGCAATTTTAACTAGGATGGTAGGGAAGAGACTTCACTGAGAAAGTAACATTCAGGCAAAGACTTGAAGAAAGGGAGGGAGACAGCCTGATGAAGATTGTTCCAGCAAAGGAAATGGGTGCAAAGGCCCTGAGGGCTCACTCTGGCCACCTCCTGGAAACAGACATTTAGGGCTAGGTGATGAGATGACCAGGAGCCACTAGAGCAGCCTGAGAAGGAGCAGCCAGTGAGGAAGTAGGTCAGTATAGTGTCCTGGAAGCCACATGATTAGAGGATGGCCAAGAGGGGGAAGATAGCAACTGTCAGGTACTGCAGGTGGGCCTTGAACAAATATTCTTGATAATGCGTTTTTTAAGAAATTGTTAAAATTTTGTTTATTATTATTATTATTATTAAATTTGCTGTTGGGCATGTGTGCTCACCAGACAGGAGGAAAGTAAGAAAACCAGCCACCAGATGTGGGACTCAAACCATGGTCAGCCAGGTGGGAGTCCAGCGCCCCAACCACCATACCACCTGCTAGCCCTTGATAGTGCATTTTATGATTATAGTTGTAAAAATGAGCAACATTTTTCAAGCCCATTGGTGTATCTGTGACTAGTTCTAACCTCTTTTGGAGATAATGTCAAAATATTAACTTTGAGAGCCTCAGTGAAGTGTAAGACCTGAGCCAGTGGGCCCTCCAGATCCCCTCTAAGTTCTCCCCGCCCTTTCTACCCCTTCTGCACTCTCTCTTCTGGTACCTCCAGACCCCACAATCCTGTAACAGTCTCCTGACCAGCCCTCATAATGGAAATTGCCCAGAGTCTGTCCTGCCCTTGTCCATCAGAACTTACTTCATTTAGTAGAGTCCCTTCCCTTTAGTCCCCAGACTACCTCCACAGTCATCAGCTCACTGCATTCATGCTACTCTGCTAATAACTGGCCACTGCTTGAGAGGCCACCTCTGCCAGGAGCAGCTTGAAAGGAATGAATCTCTAACAGAAAGCATTTCAGACTCTTCATTTCTCAGTCATTAGAAGATATAGGGGAGGGCCAGCAAGTGGCATGATGGTTAAGGCTTTGGATTCCAACAGGACTGACCATGGTTCAAGTCCCGGACCTGGCAGCTTAAAAATTGTAACAAATAAATAGATAAATAAATAAATAAATGTTTAAAAAAATAAATAAACAGAAGATATGGGGGAAGGGCATCCCCGACAGAGGGAAGAGCAAGGGTAAAGGGCCAGACTGGACATGTTCATGGATGAGAAAGAAGACAACATGGCTGGAGCCTAGTCTGTGATAAAGAGAGAGCTCAATGAGGCCGGGTCACTTAATGCTCGTGCGCAACACTGAGGAACTTGGATTTTACTCTTTAGCAGGCGGACAGGTCCGTGGCCTCCAGTATTTCTCTGTAAGGCTGCTTTTGGCCTTCATCCACCCAGAAGGCTTGCTCGCTATGTACTGCCTTGGTGGGCTGTGACTTTGCAGTCGCTCCTCTTAACACGGCATTATGATCACCATCATCATCATCACTAGCATTTATGCAGCATTTTCTAAATGCCATTCTAAGTACTTTATCATTTCTTTATTCTAATTTGCTATAGGGTGCTGTGCAATTGCCACACAGGGGTAGGGAGTGAAAAGGCACCCTCAGGGGAGCTGGCCACACTGCAGTCCCTCCTCCTCCATTCTCCTTAGGATTTGGGGCACATGGGATGTGTTTTAGGCTATCAGGACTCCAACTGCGTAGTCAGCCATGTGGGACCCAGCCGCCTTAACCGCCATGCCACCAGCTAGCTCTCTATGTACTTTCAATTTCCCCCTCATCTGTTTCATTTATTTATTTATTTATTTCGGAGAGGTTTTTGCTATAAGGCACATGTGCTCTACAGAAAGACAGAGAGAGACAGAGAGACAGAAAGTGAGAAATCACCCCCTAGGAGGGATGGCCATGCCGCAATCCCTTCTCCTCTTGGGATCTTGAGCATGCACATACATGTGCCAGGCATGAGTTCCAGCCACCAGGTCCGGGACTCGAACCATGATTGACTACATGGGAGTCCAGCGATATAGCCATTATGCCAACTGCTGGTCCCTCTCTATGTACTTTATATGACTCATCTTAATCCTATAATAACCCTCTGAGTTAGATACTACTATCTTATTTTATAAATGACAAAATTATATAACCATTACTGCTTCCTTTACAACTCTTCACTGGTTCCCTGTTCTCTTTTACTTATTTGCTAAAGGGCACATGTGCTCGCTAGAGAGATACAGAGATAGGGAGAGGAGAAAGCACTCTCCATGGAGAATGGCGATGCTCCCCGTCTCCCTTCTTTCTGGATTTCGGGCACACATGCACAGACACTCAGCAACTGCCAGGTCCAAGACTCAAACCACACAGTTGGCCATCTGGGATCCAGCCATCTTAACCATCAGGCCATGGAGCTGGCCCAATTCCTCCTTTTCAACCAAAGAAAGTCCAAGCTCTTTAATAGGTTATGTGAAGCCCTCCAATTTCTTCCCAGCCTTGGCCTCTGCAGCCTCGCCTTTGCTTCTTCTTGCCTTGAACACAGTCACATCTCAAATGCTGTTTCTAGCCCCACTGCTCACACTGTACTCTACCTGGATGTTCTCTTCAGTCATGACTCCCTTCCATCTCTGAAGACTCAGTTTGAACACCACCACTCCAGGGAGTCGTGTACGACACAGTTCCCGCACTTGGGAGGTAGCTGCACTTCCTCCGTCCTTTCATCAGATCTCCAGCAATCATGTCTTTTGCCATGTTGAGAGTATTTGGAGCACAACCTTAATTAGAATTAGCAAGGATCCCCAGGAGGGTAGGGATCTCCCTCCCTGCCAAGCGCTGATCAAGGCAGAGAACTGAGAGACTCACTAAGGAGGAAAGCCTGGAGTCTCCTCTGCTTCCAGTGTTCCACCAGCAATCACTGGCTCTGCAAAGGAGACCCTTTCATCTTCACATCTGTGAGAGCTGAGGCTTCCGAGGGCCCAGGACTTGGTGGGCACAGGGATTGGGGGCTAGTGGGTTCTACAGAGGCAGCACTGTATAGTGGGTAAGGCTGTGAGCTCAGATAGCATTCAGCCCTGGGTTGGATTTCTCCTCCATCAGTCACTAGTTTAGACTTGTTCCCATTACTTAATCCTAACACTCATATTTATTGAGCCCCTTGTCTATGCCAGGCACTTGGCATAGACTAACTCATTTAATCCTCCCAATTATCCTCTGAGGGAGGTGCTTTCATCAACTCCATTTTACAAGAGAGGAAACCGAGTCATGGGACCCAAAGTCATACAACTGGTAAGTGGCAGACCTGGGATGGCAAACCCAGTTGGTTGGGCTCCAGAGCCCAGACTCCTCATTGCTGCACATACTATCTCCTGCAATGCACTTCCTTGAGCACCAGGGTCCTTGTCCAGACAAGAGAAATATTGGGGTTCAGGGGGAATGCAGTGGTAAGACCTAATGTTCTGCAAAGGCTGACCCATGCAGGAAGGTTCTGGGTTTGCATCCGGACAATTCTCTGAGTATGCCAGGCAAGCATGTGCCCATGATCCAGGACTACCTAAGACTGGGAGTAGATTATGGCATGAGAACCTGCTGGGGGTGCTGTGTCTCTATCTTTCTGTGTCTCTCCCACTCCTGGATGAAATAAACTTTTTTTTTTTGAGAGGTTTTTGCCTTAGAGTGCCGGCATCCCTTCCTCACTCTCCTCACTCTTTGGGCACAGATGCACATGTGCCTGGCATGATTTTCAAGCACTGGCCCGGGACCCTAACTGCGGTCGGCCATGTGGGAGTCCAGTGACATAACTGCTATGCCATCTGCTGGCCCCAATAAATGTCTTTTAAAGAGAAAGAAGAGGAGCCAGCAGGTGGCATGGTGGTTAAGGGTGCTGGACTCCCACACGGTCGACTGTGGTTCAAGTCCCAGACCTGATGGCTTGCTTTCTCACTTTCTCTCTCTCTCTCTCTCTCTCTCTCCCTGTCTGGTCAAATTAAAATAAGTAATGTTAAATAAGGTAATTCTTTTTTTGGGGAGAGGTATTCGCTATAGGGTGCGTGCGCTCGCCAGACAGACAGAGAGAGACATAGAGGCAGA